GCCTCAACACTCAGTGGTGTGATCTAAAGGGTCTAAGATCTGGCCTAGGACTCCGGAGATCAGATTTTTAGTAATGGTTTTGGCGACATTAAGGTGATGTTGGTGAGTTCTCTGAGCTCATCTGAAAAGACAATTAAACTACTTTAATTCTATATTTTCTTTTTTCTCTTTGTCATCTGCCCATGTATAGTTTGATTTCAACTAGAGGGGTGACATTCTGGCTTGGGCTTCCAATAGATAAAAGAAAAGTGGGTGAGTGAATTCAGAGCAAAACAAACCAGCTTTAGCTTCACACACAGCTGGCTATGAATTCTGGCTCAGCCACACCATCTCTGTATAACCCTGGATAGATTTACTAAGTCACTCTGAGTTATAAACTCCTCATCAGTGAAAGTGAAGTAAAAATACTTACCTTGAGGGTTCTTATGAGGATTAGAGGTAATATATGCAAAGCACCATGCATCAGTTTTCAATCAAGGTGGTAGAAATCACCTGGGGTCTTACAGAATCTGCGGAAGGAGAAGCTTGAATGTGGAACGGATGAAAATAAGTAGTAAAAATAAAATCCAACAGCACCAGGGCCCAGCCCAGCAGAGTTCCAGCTCAGTGCTGTTGCTTTGCCATTGATGGGACATCCAATGTGTGCTGGCTGTTCACCACATCGGCTCTCTGGCTTCTGCATGGCCCTGCATGACTCTTCCTCTTTAGTCTGACATTTCTTTGGCTTGGTTCCTACTTCCCTGTTATGGTCATCACCTTGCTCTGCTCTTCTGTCCAGATCCAGACTTCTTCAAACGAGTGCAGGCACACCTCATTTTATTGTGCTGCACTTTACTGTGACTCACAGATGTTGTGTTTTATACAAAATGCAAACAAGACCCTCCACCAGGCATAAAGGTTACAACTTTCTTCATTGCGGTGGTCTGGAACGGAGGCAGCAATGTCTCAGGTGTGCCTGAATTTTGACGCCTGCTTCTGGCTAATGACATGGGTGCTATATCCCTGGATTCTGCCTCTGCCTAATTCTGTAAGTTTAAACTGATAAGAGCTTATGTAACAAGTTTTCCTAATAAAAATGAAACACTGTTTTCAGCTTACTGATTCCCTGTTACCACTGTGAGTGCAAAAGAGCCAAAGTGATGTTGTTACAGAAGCGACGGATAATGGAAATATCAGAAAAGTTGAAGCAGGACTGGAAGAGTTTTAATGGCCAAAGCACTGGTGCCAACACAGGCAGCACTGTGGGCCATTCTTCATTTCTAAATTTAATGGTGAGAGGCAGAGACATAGATCTCAGGGGAAAGGATTATCTCCTATCTCTCTATATAAAAGCCGAATATGCAAAGTGTCCCCTCAGGAGTTTGACTGACTGGGAGTTTGATCGCTTGCTATGATGTGCACTGACCACCAGGGGCGGCATGGAACGAAGGGAGTTTCCTGGCCCACAGCCACTAGGGACCCTACTTGTGCATAAATTTCATGCATTGGGCCTCTAGTAATAAATAACAAGAGACTGGCATTCCACATCTCCGTAATCAGGACAAGGACAAATTCTGCAAAACAGCTCAAAAGCTGGTAAAACTGTGAACATCTGAATGTAGCAGTCACTCTGGAATCACCAAACCTAATGTTGCATTTCTGATAGGTATAAACAAATTCCATTTATTCAGTCGAAAATTGGCCTAGAGGTAGGAGGACAATCTTAATGATGTATGACAAAACTTGCATTAAAGAATAATTTCAATCACTAGACACGTTAAAAAGCTACTCTGCAACTGTTAGAAAATTTACAAATAGACTTTAAATACACCTAAGGAAAAACGGCTTTAACCCTCCCATTCTGAGTATCATTTTACTCTTACCTGTGGAAACAAGAGAGGAAACAGATCCAGGGATTAGAAGAGGATGTGTCCCAGGAAAAATGGGGTGAAATGAAGCAAAGAAAGCCTTCTTACAACTTAAAAGATGTATTCCCTTATTAGAGTAGCATCATGGACCAGAGGGAAGGTATCGTATTGCTTATGTTGTTTCAAATAGCACTAAAATTCTAATTCAACTTAAAAACTGCATTATATGGGCAACTGGAAAATTCCTGAAAGACCCTTCCAGAGAATTCTCAGCAGACTCCTCAGACTGGTGTTGGAGGTTATGAACTGGCGTCACATTGCCAGTGCAACCTTCAAAAGCACAGGCTCTGCAGTGAGACACGTGGTACAGTCTACTCATCACTCTGCCACCTACAGGCTGGGTAAGTTACACAACTGCAAAACAACTCAATTCTCTGGACCATATCCTGGAAGCAAGTCCTTCTGATGCAGTTTGCTCTGAGATTTTACTAACCAGGTTGTTCAGAGGACTATGTTGACACTTTATAAGAACAACCCATTATTAAGGGACATCCTGAGCATCGATTGTGATAGCTTCCTTGTTCTCCAAAGACACCATAAAGTCTTGCTATTTGCTCCTCGCCAAAAAAGGCTCTTGAATCTTTTCCAACCACACATAGCCTACTTAACTTTTAAAATGTAATTAATGTCTCCAATTTTCCAGTAATACTTCTCTGCACACCCTATACCCTATTCATCTATCCCTTTTCTAACCATCACATTGACTAGTAAGTACCTCTCATTCTAACAACCATAAAAAGCTGTTTCTCCCAGTCTACTGCTTCACATAACCCATCCTAGCTTCCCAAATAGAAATGAAAGTTTGGGATAACAAGGTCTGGTTTGTTTTTTGTTTTGTTTTGTTTTTAATTAAGTTTATTGAAGTAACATCCTATAGTACAAGCCTAATATGCTAAGTGTACAAGTGTTCATTAAACCAGTCACTATGATGCGCACTGACCACCAGAGCTCCGACTGATAGGTTAGCTTGCTGCTGAGGTCCAGACTATAGGGACTGGGTGAGATGGGCCGAACATGCCCTGGAGCCCTCCCGCGGTCCCTCTTTGGCTTCTAAAATATTTCTTCTAATTAATTTCCTTTCGATGTGCATGAATCCGTGCACTGGGCCTCAAGTTGGTTAATAACATTATGTAAATTACAGATATACAACATTATGATTTGACATCTGCATATTCCATTACATGCTCACCACCAACAGTCTAGTTTTCTTCCATTACCATGTTTTTGAAAGCCTTCATCCAATTCACACTGCCCCTAAGTCCCTTCCCCTTTGGTAACCACTGTTCTGTTTTCACTATCTATGAGTTTATATTTATTTGTTTTGTTGGTTTATTTGTACATTTTTGTTTTAGATTCTACATGTGATTGAGATCATATGGTTTTTGTCTTTTCCCATCTGATTTATTTCACTTAGCATAATATCCTCAAGATCCATCTTAGGTTATCAAAAATGGCAAGATTCTATATTTTTATGGCTAATTCATATTCTATTATATATGTACATCTTCTTTACCCATTCATCTAAGACCTGGTGTTTAAATCTCTTTGTTACTCCAAAACCAAATGCTATGATATTCACAAAGTAGTAAAAAAGATAATTCTCTATAATGTAACCATAGTTAGTTAGTATTTTCTCAATGCTCAGTGCCCTCAAAAACATAGCATGACATGGCCACACTACCACAAAGGCAACCAGAAACTCAACTTTGAAATCAGTACCAGTTAACGTATGTTGTGTCCTCAAAATGACAGGATATTGAATGTTTTCCTTGACCCCAATTTACAAGGGAAAGGAGGACAACAAAAATATCAGGGCACTGAAAATAGAACCCTCAGTTGAATATTTCAGGAGAAGCAGTATCAATACCAGAGACCAAAAAAGATGATTCAATTTGAAAACTCACTAGTTCCCACATGAGGAAGACCAGGGACGGGGTCAGCTGGCTACAATTCCCAGCTCTCTCTGAGTCCACTGGACCAGTCCAGCTGCACTCTCACTCGCTTTGGGTTAGCCATACAGCATATCGGATCCAGGCCTCCATTCTGTCCTAATAGAGGGAAGAAAAACAGAAAAGAGTGCTTTTCTCTCAGCAATTCTAATAGTCATCTCACTTCATTTTATTAACTCTGATGATCTGCCTGGCACTGAACCAATCACTACATCCAAGGGTGTGTGATATTCTGATGGGTCAGGCTAAGAAACATACCCACTCTCGAGCTCACAACAGAGCCTACTCCACTGAGCACCTGTCATCAGAGGGTGGGATAACAGGTGGTTCCCCCAGGGAAAGCTGAAATGTTATTAGAAAAATACTGAACAGCTTCTGGGCAGGATAAACAACACATGTCTCTGTTCCAGGTGGAAATTGACTAGCTGGTTGATATTTAAATCTACAGATATGGAAATGATCTAATTATCCCATCTCATACCTTTTTTTTAATTCCTGAAGGAAATATTCATGAGCACATTGTGGACAATTAAGAACAATTTTTTGGATACCATAGTTCACAGTCTGAGGTTCCCCAATAAGTGGCCTGTAGACCTTCCCAATTCATTTAGCAGTATGACTAGAATTCCCAAAGTCCACCTTCCTGGGCTACTAGTAGGGACAGTCTGGTTTCATGCTTCCCAGGAAGAATATACCACCGAGCTTGAAAAGTTCATGAAAAGTAAAAAATAAAGATAATATTCCAGTATAAACTTTTTCTTTTCAATAAGATATAGAAATAGAATCATAAGAACTATAATCATTACAAAGCCTCCCCCCACTGTAGACATTTATTCCACTATGGTTAGTTACATGCTGCTTCTGTAAATATTCAATTTAGGTTCAGTTTTCTCCTTGCTTTATTTTCAGTTTCCCTTCTATATTGTTTTAATTACTGTAATTCAGATCAAATTAGTTGTCACTCTTTATTACTTTTAAAAAACAAAGTAAACTAATCCATACCCTATAAAATGTCCATGGTGTTGTACAAAACAAAACAAAACAAAAAAAACAACACAACAAAAACAAACAAACAAAAAAACCAGCAACAAGTATTTATTGAGCATATAACATAAAATAATACCATTTCTGTCTCCAAAGATAAGTGCTCTTCAGGTAATGACAATAGGAAACATGTTAAAAAGGGACTAGATGGCACTGGCCAGTTTTTCTCAGTGGTTAGAGTGTCAGCCGGAAGATAGAAGGGTCCTGGGTTCATGGATTCAACTCCTGGTCAAAGGCATGTAACTCAGTTGCAGATTTTATCCTTGGTCCCAGTCACGTACAGTCAGGAGGCAACCAGTCCATGTGAATATGTCTCTCTCACATTGATGTTTCTCTTTCTCTCTCCCCTTTTCCCATCCCTTCCATTCTCTTTGTACAGATCAATGGAAAAAATATCCTCAGGTGAAGATTTTTAAATAGGGGACTAGATGGTCAGAGGAGACATTTTTCAGAAGGCACTAATAATGTTGAATCTGAATAACAAGAAAAATAGTCAAGCATGAATTAAAGGGAAGATTATTCCACAACACCCAGTGCAAAAAACCAACTATAATCTGAGTATTTGTGTCTTTCTCAAATTCTCATGTCAAAGCCCTATCCAACAGTGTGACAGTATTTGGAGGTGCCACCTTTGTAAGACAATTAGGTCATGAGGGTGGGGTTCTCATGAATGGAATTAGTGGCTTTATAGCAAGAGGTCAGAAAGCTAGCTAACTCTCTTTCTACCATGTGAGGGTATAACAGGAAGTCAGCTGTCTGCAAAACAGGAAGCAGGTCCTCACCAGATACCACATCTACTATCACCTTTATCCTGGAATTTACAAGCTTCATAACTGTAAGAAATAAATATTGTTTGAGTTACCAAGTCTTTGGTATTGTGTTATAGCAGTAGAACTGACCAAGACAGGTGCTGAAATGTGAACATGGTTGGCGTGTTGGGCTTCTGCAACCTGTTTGCCCTAATGGTCTTTTCTCCATGGCCATTGCTGATTTAGGCAGAGAAGGATAGATATATATCTCATGCAAGGTGGTCAACCCAGTTTATCTTGGTTATTTGAGTCACCATTAACTGTTGCTAATACATCTCTGCTGGCCTTTTGAGCTTGATCTGCAAACCCAAGAGCTGAAGAACAAAGGAGAAAATGCTAAACAAAAACAGTGATGAAACTGTGTGCCTAGGAAGGGAGAATTTTTTAAAAAGTTGTTTTGATTCTTGAGATTCCCACATTCCTGGGTTTCAGACCTCCATGAGTTTGATTCTGTTCTCTAAGGTAGGCTTCCAGAAGAAAGTCCTATATCCTTACACTAAGATCTGTTCTTGGTCTAAGTATTTTGAGTGGGTGTTTGTAATTTGTAAACAAAGGGATTCCAATGGTTTAAGGAGATATTTGAGTAAGAATATAAGCAATGGCAAGAATATTCTGAAAATCATAGGATGACATGAGGAAGTAAAAGCTCAGTGTAGGACTTCCATGTGCTTAATCATAGGACATGAAGAAAATTAGTAGAAATTCAGAGACTCTTAGCTCAGCTATCCCCAGCTAAGAGATTTTACCAGCTACTTAATTTAGAGGAATAAACATGCAGTATCCCTCTGTATAACATTCAGACTTGCCATGTTTAATCATGTGAATATAAATGATATAGCACAGTGCATATACTTATTCATTAGTGTGGATTCATTCAGTCTCAATTAATCTTTTCATGTACCTCTATATCTAAGATCCCTCCAAGGCAATCTTAATGATAAATAACTCAATGGGATTGACATACACACTTCCTGGCTGTTTTAGACATGATCCTTGTGGTCAGAGAAGGTAAAACAAGATAGCAATGTATCTGAAAAAAAAAATAGTTGCTTTAACCAAACTTATATAAAGTGCTTTATAAGTTGCACTACAATTAAATATTATGGTTAACCCTGGCACCTTGGATGGAAGAAACATGGGGGTGGGAGAAGGACAAAATAATTATCATGGCCACGGAGATCTATTATTCATTGAAACATGTTCTTTGATGTCAGTGTGGATGCCTTGAGGAATGCATAAGAATCCACAGTGTCTTCATTACCAGGCTTCCTTCCTTCCAGTATGCCATCTTTTCAAGAATGAACAAAAGACCAGACGGTCTCGTGGAAAAGCTCTAAAAGATGTATCAGATAAAGAGAATTTTTATTCCAACATTAGCTGTATTTCTTTTTTTTTTCTTTAGTCCACTAGGAGTCTATAAGAATTTTGGAAATTTTGTTACTTTTGGTTAGCTGCAGTGTATTTTTCCCTAAGTGAATTTAGCTAATCTCTAGTAAATCATTTGTGCTTTTGTGGTATCTGATATTAAAATCAATGTAGAGTTTCTATTTCCTTAACACAAACTTGGAAATAAAAATATTTACTCAGTATTAACCTCTTCGGGAGATATTTTGCTTCAAAACCATATCACAGGGTATTTCCTGAGGAGGTGTCCCAGAGTAGATTGGCCCATTTGGCTGGAGCATTTTCCGGACAGTAGATTAACATACCTGGCAAAGAGCCTCTAACATTGTTTATGGTGTGCAGCAGCTTTTACGAGGGAAAATTAAATGAGACTCTCCTGGGAGCACTATTTTAGATGAGGATAGTTCCTGAGCCATGAGGGCATGAGGATACTTAGAGAAGCCCATGGTGCTGCCACTGACTGATACCATCCCATTTTGATAATAGATTATTTTTTTCCAGGGAACCCAGAAAAGAAAGACTCGCGTGTGTGTGTGTGTGTGTTACAATCCAAAAGAATGAGATTCAAGTATAACCAAAACAACATTCAAATGCATCTCTAATTTGGTAGAACCTCAGATCTGACAACAATATGAAGGCATCATAGGGACCCTCACTGAGTATAGCCATAAACAATAAATTTGGACAATAATGACTATAATGAATCCTACGTATTGGGAGAGGTGCTATCCACAGAGGAGATAACACAAAAAGCCTGGCAAGAGCAGACCAAATTGAGGCCTATATTCTCAACAAAGGCTTAGTAATTTAGATCATGAGAGTCTGACAGACCGGGTGTGAGGCCAGTTCTTTTATTTACTAGTTGAGTAACCTTGGACAAGCAATTTCTATTCGAAGCTTCAGGTTGCTCTTCTATAAAGGGAACAGTAAGAGCACCTAGTTTATAGGTCTGTTAGAAGGTTTATAGTGAGAATATGAGCACTGTGTCTGGCATTTATTAACAACCCAGTAAATATTGGTGGAATTGGTGGTAGTAGTCAGCTCTCAATAAATGTTAGTTGTTATGATGGTCTAGGAACTGGGCTAAATGCATTGAATCTTCCCAACAACTTCATGACGATATGAGTGTAATTATTTTTCTCTCATTACAAGTGAAAAGAGTGAGGTACAGAAGATTACGTAAATTGGCTGTGAATATACAGCTGATATATGGCAGAGTTAGAACTGAAATGAAAGCAAGATGGCTCTAATGCCTGGACTCTTAACAGCTATGGCTGTGGGGATGCTGGTTGTAGCAGACTTGTAGAAACATAGCAGTTTATTCAAAGGCATTGATGTCATCATTCTTTAATAAGGCATTCAATATTTTGGTTATTTATTCATAAAATGTGAAATGGGCATTTCCATCCTGCCAGATTCTCAGTGAAATTTAGAAAGTGGTGACTTGCTTCAAGAGATCCTGGGGAAATGTGTGCACATAATACACCAACTCTGGGATTTGAATTCTAACCTTGCTAGTGCGATGCAACGTGGAATGCTACCAAACTCCACCAGCTCCATTTTCCTCTTCGGTGAAACTTCACAGGATTACTATGAAGATTAAATTAAAGAGGATATTCATATAATACACTCATAGAGGATCTGATCAATGTTAATTAAACCTGCTGTCGGCTCTCTTTTCTTTAAAATAGTTGGGTAGGTTTTGATATACATATGAAACATTAAGCCAAAAAAGAGGAAGTTTAGTGACATCTTAACATAATACATGCCATATAAAATTCCTTTCTTCCTTCTGCTCATCTTTCCTTCCTATTTTCCTTCCATCATGTACCATATTCAGTATAAACACAACATGCCATGCTGCATACACCACACTGGAGTTATAACAAAAAGCAGGCAATATGCGTATGATTAAGTACCATGCTTAATGTTCCAGAGGCAGAGACTTCTCTGCACTGAAGTGATGGGGACAGCCTTGCATGTAAGATGATACTTTAGTTAGCCCTTGAGGATGGAGGATCTGGAGAGGGAATAATAATCTAGGGGGAAGAACAGAAGTAAAATATAAGAAGCCAGAATTTGTGAGATGTTTGCTCATCATTAAGGGTTAAATAAACCATTCATAAAGAATGGCCATTAATATTAAATATATATATAATTTCAGAGAGGAAGGGAGAGGGATAGAAAGATAAAAACATCAATGATGAGAGAGACTCATTGATTATCTGCCTCCTACACACCCAACATTGGGGATCGAGCCTATAATCAGGCATATGCCCTGACCAGGAATCCAACCATGACCTCCTGGTTCATAGGGCAATGCTCAACCCCTGAGATATGCAGGCCAGGTGAGAATGGCCATTAATATTAGCTACCTCAGTATACCTATGGAAATTTTCCTTAAGAATAACCTGGAATGAAACCCAATGCATTAAGCAGACACTGAGGGATTCTGATGGAAGCTGGGGAAAGACCTCCAGAGATCTTCCGAGCATGCCTTTTGCTCAAGGGCATGTGCAGCGATCCATTTATGCTTTTCTAGAATAAAATTTAAACAAAAGAAAAACAAAAGCTCCCTTAAGGGAGTACTGAAAGTTTAAACATTAATCTGAGAACAGCCTAGGAGAATTTGATTACAAGTCTGAGTTAGCCTGTGCATAACAGACAAGGAATGAAGAATTTGAATAGGAAAATAATATAATGAAAGCCATGTTGAGGACAAATCACCTGACTTAGATCAACAGTTTGATTCAGGAGACTAAGATGTTACCTGCAAGATGACTAAATGGGTATTACCGCAGTCTAGTTTTAATATAGCCCAAAGAATTTTATACGAAATCAAGATGGTCTGAGTTGCAATAAAAATCTAACCACAAATTTGCACATAGCTCTGAGTGTCTCCTTCAAAAGAAAAGGGAACAGAGTCCCATTTCCTATCACTTTTAGAAATGTGAACGATTTTGTGTCTGAAATCAAACGCATGCAACTATCCTTCCACAGTGATTTCTCAGCTCTATGACAATGTGAACCTATATTAGTACTTTACATCTTTACTTATAATCCAGAATCCCAAACACAGACGCAATTAAACTCAGTAAATTAGCAATAGCTTTTTCTCAAACTGTTTCTCACTAAATAATTTCAATATATTATTGGTTTGGATTAACATTACTGATTGACTTACCTCTTGAGTAATGTCAAAGCCTCTAAGACATTTTCCAACTTTGTATTTTCTATGGAGGCTATTTAGTAGGTAGAATAATTTTCTCCAAAAATGTTCATTTTTTAATCCCTGGAACCTGTTAGTAAGGGACTTTTCAGTTGTGAGTAAGCCAAAGATCTTGAGATAGGAGATGATTTTGGGGTTATATAAGTTGGCTCAATACAATTACAAAAGTCTTTCTAATGGGGAAAAAATAAACTAACAAGCAAAATAGAGACAGACTCATAGATAGAAAGCAGGGTGACAGCTGATGGGGGGTGGGGGTTTGAGGGTGGGGGGCGGGTATAGAAGGATTGAGGAAAAAATTAAAAAAAGAGAGAAAACTCGTGGTGATTGCCTGTGTGGTGATTGCCTTGCCAGGGGTAAGGGGAGTTAGAGAAGGGTATGGAGGATAAATGGTGATGGAAGGAGATTTGGCTTGAGGTGGTGAGCACACAATACAGTGTACAAATAATGTGCTATGGAGTGGTGCACCTGAAACTCAGTTTTGTTAACCAGTGTCACCCTAATAAATTCAATAAATAGAGGAAAAAAGAGTCCTGCTAAGTAAAACAGGGAGGAAGAGTCAGAGAAAAAGACAAGATTATGAAAGCTATGGTCAACGTGATGCAGTGAGCAAGACTCAACTGGCTGTTGCTGTTTTTGCGGATGGAAGGAAGGTCCCAAAGGATGCGGGTGGCCTCTGGAAGCTGGAAAACACAAGGCAGCAGATTCTCTTATGGAGTCTCCAGGAGGAACGCAGTCTGGACAACACAATTTCAACCTAGTGAAACAGTTGTTCTTCTGATCTAAGGATTTTGAGATAATAGATGCTTGTGGTTTTAACCCTACTAGAGGGCCAGTGCACGAAATTTGGTCTCTAGGCCTGGCTGGTGATCAAGGCCTATTGGGGTAGTCTCTCTCGCCCAGTCCTGACCGGGACCAGGCCAGGCGGGGCCTGCTGGATACCTACCGGGGTCTGGGAGCCTGCTGGCTGCTGGACAGGGCCTGTAGATGGGGCCTGCTGGTTTTGGGGAGGGACCAGGAAGGTTGGCTGTCACGAGAGGTTCACTGTGGGAGCACACTGACCATCAGGGGGCAGCTCCTACATTTAGCTTCTGCTCCCTGGTGGTAAGTGCACATCATAGCAACCGGTCGACCAGTCAAATGGTCGCTTAGGCTTTGATATACAGTCTATAGAAGGTAATTTGTTAGACCAGCAACAGGAAACTAATACAAAATAATCTAAATAACTTGAAAGAAAACTATAGAGAGCATCCTGAAGGTCAAAGAGGTTCATTGACCTATTTCTAGAGTGAATTCCTAGAATAACGTTTTTCTGGACACCCCACCTTCAAAATGCTCAGTCTTAAACACTGCAGGTTCTCTGTAAATATGGATCCTACAATGCTAGCATACATAACACCTGCTCATAATGATGAAATTTAGTCAGTTCTTATGATGTTGGCACACAGTAAATGTAATGAAGACCTGATCGATCTCTCAGGACTTATAAACAGTACTAAATATCTTATACACATGCAAGGATGATATGTAAATATTTTCTCCATAACTCATCTGAAAGGTTATTGGAAATTTGACACAATAGGTCCTGTATCATGTGTCAATGGAATGTAAATCCTACTATGACAGTTTTTCTGTGTTTACACCCCTTTGGAAGAACTGATTTGTAGCTGTGGTGTTGGGAACCGTCATGCTGCTGGCAAAGTCTAAGCTGACCAGAGGACATGGCAAAGCCCTGGACTCTACCCTACATTGATTCTGGAAGGTTTTAAGGTCAAAGCTCAGGAAAGGCTTAATTAGAGTTTGCAGCAAAGCAGAACTAGACAAGGCTTGACCGAGGCACGACCTCTGTGGCTAAAACTAGTAAAGGGCAAAAGTGTAGTTACTAAAACATAACCTGATTGTCATAGTAACTGTCAAACATAGATGGATCTAGACAAAGCTTGCCCAGTCTTGCCCAGCCTGTAACAATCTGCTACTTCCCTATGATAGACCAAGCCCTAGCAGTGATCTATGAAGCATGACCAGCCACAGCTCAGCTATAAAGCAGTGTGTGTAAAGAATAAAGTTGCTGGTGCCTTGTGCCAGTCCTCCCAACCCCGTCTCATGGTCTCTTGTATTTCATCCCACGCCACCTCTACCCGTCGGACCCTCTCTGAGGTGCGGGTCACCGCACTGTGGTATACCGTTAATTGTCTTTTCTGGTCCATGATGTTACAGAGAGGTATGAATGTATGATCAACGCGCTAATGCTCAACCTAATGCGCTTCAACAGCTTGTCCTATATGTCCAATTGACATGGGGCATTTAGCCACTACAAGGGCGTTCCCAAGCAAAGGACGTTCCTAACTCTACTCACTCACTGCCATATTTTTCCAATGTTCACACCTCCTCAGTAACAACAACATGCATTGCTTAGAAGCTGTCAAACAACAACAGGGATACAAATAGAGTGGTGTACCGTCACTTAAGTAAATCACGCCAGCCTCAAAGCCTGGGGAAGGTAGCAGGGCAAGCTGGACTTTCCTGAAGACAAGATTAAAGTGCAGCTCAGGGAAAAGTCACTGAAATGAATACTTTGTATGTGAAGGCAACATATATTTACAGAAAATAAAATCTTGGTTAAAACACTTTTGAGTCATGTATAAGTGTTCACTGAAAACAAGAAAGATTTTGCTTGATCTACTTGGTTCACTGTCTAGGTGTTTCCTCCCCACTCTGTGCTAATGGCAAGCAATCAATCATCGAAGCAGTAATCAGATTTTGCAGAAGGCCACCGGCATCATTTTCAATCATTTAACTTTGCCAGACTGCCTCCCTTCTTTATGAATCACAGAGATTAATGTGAAAGAATTTTTAAATGCATTTTAGGAAAATTAACAAATTATCATTCTTCTTTTACTCACAGTTCACCATTTCACCAGGCATTATGCATATTCTGTACTGTGGCTTCTAATAACTTTATTACTCAGAGGAAGAAAAATAGTGAGGGCATCCTGTACTTAATACAGGGATGTGCTTTGGACAGATAATGCACATATTCAAAATAGAAAGCTTTAGGTAAAAGTGCTTTTGTGGTTATATTCTTCCCCAAGTTACTTTCCAGAATAAATATCCCTCAAGGTAGGCTATGGTTCAAACAGCAATAGAAACAAAAATCACATGAATTTTTGTCTCCAAGCTGGTCACCTTTGGAAATTCTTCACAGCCTTTTCAGGTACAAGGTTTTTGTTTCAATTTGGACTTGAACATTTTTAGATTTTTAACCATAAAATTTTCCTCTAAAACTCTTTCCAGTCCATTAAATTCAGATTTATTATGTTTTCCTGTTTATGTAAACATTGCTTGCTCATTTTAAAATAGCAATGGAAGAGTAAAGTATAGCAAATCAATGAAAAATGGCTTAAAATCCCATCAGCCTGTGATAGCATTAATTTTAAGACAATTCTTACATACACATACATTTATTTTATCACCTTCATTCTTCTTCTTTATTCCTTCTCTTTCTCTAATTCTTTCTATTGCTTATATCTTCTGTTTTTTTCTATACACTCCAATACCCTTAATCTCTCTGTTCTTTCTCCCCAAAACCACAGACCTAAATGTAAAAAGCAAACTTATAAAATTCCTAGGAGATAACATGAGAGAAGAAAATAGATGACCTTAGGTGATGCCTTTTCAGATACACCAAAGGCACAGTCCATGAAAGAAATAATTGACAAGTTGGATTTCATTAGAATGAAAAATTTCTGCTCTGCAAAAGGCAATGTCAAGAGAATGAGAACATAAGGCACAGAACAGGAAAAAAATATTTGTAAAAGACCATCTAATAAAGAATTATTGTCCACAATATACAGAAAACTCTCAAAACTCAACAATAAGAAAACAAACAACCAGATTTCAAAAACAGACCAAAGAGCTTAACAGACACCTTGCCAAAGATATCCATATGACAAATAAGCATATAAACAGATGTTCCATATCATATAAATAACAGTGAGATCCCTGTCAGAATAGCCAAAATATGCAACACTGACAACACCAAGCGCTGGTGAGAATTTGGAGCAACAGAAACTCTTGTTCATTGCTGGTGGGGATGCAAAATGGTACAGCCGCTTTGGGAGACAGTTTGGAAGTTTGTCACAAAAGTAAATATACTCTCACCATATCACCCAGCAATTATATTCCTTGATATTTACCCAAAGGAAATAACTTACGTCCACACAAAAACCTCAACACTGATGTTTATATCTATTCATATCCAAAATTGAAGAAAACAAGATGTCCTTCAGTAGGTGGATGGATAAATACTGGTACATGAATGAGCTATCAAACCATGAAAAGACATGGAAGAGACTTTTATGCATATTTTTAAGTGAAAGAAGTCAATATGAAAATGATACATACTGTATGATTCCAACTATATGACATTCTGAAAATGGCAAATCTTTGGAGACAGTAAAAAGATCAATATTGCCAGAGATTAGAAAAGTGAGGGAAGAATGATTAGAAAGAGCACAGAGAAATTTTTGGGAAGTGAAAATACCCTGTATGAGCCCAGCCAGTGTGGCTCAGTGGTTGAGCATCAACCTATGGAACAGGGGGTCACAGTTCAATTCCCTGTCAGGGCACATGCCCCGGTTGTGGGCTCGATCCCCAGTGTGTGACATACAGAGGATCTCTTAATTAAAAATTCTTTTATCATTGATGTTTCTATCTTTCCCTCTCCCTTCTTCTCTGAAATCAATAAAAACATATTTAAAAATTATTCTGTATGATACTATAATGATGGCTACATGTCATTACACATTTGTCCATACCCACAGAATGGACATCAAGAGTGAACCTTGTGTATTTGGCTCATGATAATGTGGTAATGCAGGTTCATCAATTGTAACAAATATACCAGTCTGATGGAAGATGTTGATAATGGGAAAGGCTACGTATGTATAAGAGCACTTGTATATGGTAATCTCTCTACATTCCTCTTAATTTTTCTTTGTACATAAAACTGCTATGAAAAGTAAATACTTTTAAAAGTTTTATGAAGAATATTCAAGTCTCAGGGCAAGAGAATTTCATTTGCTTCAGGTTATGTGGTTAAGTCAGGTTTTCTGATACAGGACCTCAGAATGTAACTGTATTTGGAAATAGGGTCTTTGAAGAAGTGATTAAGTTAAAATGAGACCTTTCAGATGGACCCTAATCCCAAATGACCCATGATTTTATAATAAGACTTCCAGTCTAGTTAAATGTTTTTTACATTGAGCATGATGGATCCAGGCGTGGATGTCAATGTAGACTTAGAAAAATTATTCATTTCTACCAATGCCCTGCTCTGCCCCTCTTAAGATATTTGGCCATCTTTAAGTTGCCAGGATACAGAACTCCTTTTCTCAGACAAAAGCTCCTCATTTTAAAACATATATAAAGAGGAAAACGCATAATGCTTATTCATGCTTAGTTCCTGGCCCATACCTGTCTTTTGATGACTTATCTTCTCTCTAGATTTGCAGAGCTTTCTTCTGAAATACTATTTTTTCAGCATCATGAATTAACTTGCAGGCAAAATTTCTGCAGAACAACTAGATAAACCTCATGTACTTGGGGGTTGAGTTCATATTTTTCTAGTTTCAAGGGGTTCTCAGAGAGCACTTTAAAGTCAGTATTAGAATTAGGTGTGCCTTTGTAAAATTGACTTTCACACACAGATATCTCAT